AATCTTCAAAGCCAATATATTTTCTTTATAACTGGTGTCAAATTGATGTATATATTAAAAAATCTTGGAAAATGATCTCAAAAAGGAAGTAACAGCCCAATGAGCCATATGTTCAGGGAACCTAACAGGTTTCCATTGGGACCAAATTTCACTTCACCTTTTTGTCCTTATGTGCAAATAAAAACTTATCTGTAAATACACCGTTAAAACAGTCATGCAAATTTGTGAGGTCTGTAGATTGAGAGGAAATTACACTAAGCCTATAAAAACCAAGTTATTGGAAAATAAATAATTTGGTGAGATACATAACGACATGGAATTGAACTACATTTATTTGAGCTCTATAGATCCACAGCTTTAGAGAGACATTACTTCTGTAGAATTGGTTAATGAAGCAAAGGCTGGTGAATAGTTAATAAATTGCTTAATTTTGATGCTGATGGAACATCTGAATCTCCACGTTTACATGAATAAATATAAAGTTAAAATTTGTTTTGCTGTTAGATAGGTTGCTATTTTAACAGATTCAGACACAAGGGAATTTTCCAAATGCCAGCTAATACTGCAGCACCGGAAAGTCTGTAATACACCAAGGGCAGAGGCCTGCTTAGTAGTTTTCCGAAGAGTGGAAAGCAGAAAACATTAACATTTACTTACACAAAATCCTTTATGTAACTCTTCTAAGATTTTTCAACTTAAAAACTTTAAAACATTTTGTATGATTTTAGTAGATCTGAAGTTTGCATTCAGCTACTCTATTGGTATGCCTGGGCATATTCTAAAAGGAAAAATGATTCATTCTGTGCACTTGTATAGTTTTTCACATGACTAGAATCAATGAGGATGGTATAAAAATACCAAAATTTACTCATTTTAATTTCATTTTTGTGTACTTTTATCATATTACAAAGCAGAATAATATAAATGAAACCTTTGTGTATATATGACTGAGCTTTAGCAAACCTTATTTTAAATTGATTTTTTAAAAAGGACTAATGGTGTGTACAGTTATGCAAAGGTAAGGGTCAGTAGAAGAAACAATTACACTGCTCAGGTATTTGGTTACTCTGGCGGTCCATCCACGGCTTACGGGAAAGGAAGTTTTATGATGTTTATAAGGATAGTTTATGTAAACCGTAACAGTAAAAATATTTTAATGGTAGGAAAAAAAGTGTCCTTTAAGCGCAACAGTCAGCTTTTACGGTCAGAAAGTAACGGGAGGTTGTATCAAATCTCAGGTCCCCGCCTGCATCAACAGGTACCAAAGGCTTCTTTCAGCAGACTCGGGTTCCGATGGACTCTTTGTCGGAGGGGCGGCCAGGGCACTGCTGTTTTTGACCAGCTTCTCTCAGGCCAGAGTATAGAACAGAGCGGCCAGGCGGGGAGCTGGGCCTCCGGATCTGCTCCTGCCCCCATCTACCCCGCAGTCTCCGCAGCAGTGGGGAGCGCGGCCCGCTTCTTTCCAGGACCTTCTGTCCCCGCCACGGCCTTTCGAGGGAACTCTCGAGGCGCAGACGGCCCCTGAGTAAAGTCTTGGGGTCAGGAGGTCAGGCCTTGGAAGCACAGCTAATGTTAAGGCCCTTTATGTGTCTTCGCAGCGATCATTTAAACCGTGGACCGGTCGCTCTACTGAAAGAGGGGCTTCAGGGGTCTAAGGGCCGCAGCGCGGGAAGCGTTGCAGGGGGGTGCTGACCTCGCCGACTCGCCGCAGGCCAGCA